TAGGGTAAAGAAATTGCATTATCCTCAATTTGGCTAGCTTTGGGAAAGCCAGGTATGTTTATTCTCATTTAGTGGTAAATTTGATAAACAGTTATACAACTATGTGATCAGCATATTTGTATAACTAGTTATAGTTTCTCAGATGTGCTCTTTCCATGTTTTGGACATGAGTTCATAAAGATAAAACCTGCAGACTAAAAGTAGGTTTAACATGCAGGTCTGTCAAAGATTTCTTTCTTCTTTCCCAGTTTTGCAACATGTGTCTGGTCACTAACTTTCCATCAACAATGTGATTACAATTGCTGAATTGTCATGGCTCTGTCTTGGTTCTTTTTGCTTGAAAGAAACCTGTCAAATGCAACCAAGTAGTCAAGAAAATCCAGGTTTGCATATCTCTTGAGCTACTGATTTTTTTAAGAGCATATTTTCAGATTGCGGAAAAAAAATTGGCTGATATACCTGAATTAAATTGTGGTTTGGTATGTTGATTACCTTCACTCCCTTAGTTGGAATTAAGGGGAGAATACCTCTATATGTGAAAACACAGGAATGATGCCCCCACAAAACAGGCATGTTTTGGGGTTTGCAAATATGATGTAAACCTCAGTGAAAGAAAGGTTGGTAAGGATAATTGCTATCAGAACTGGTGTCCTGATTTACTTCAAAACAAGCTAATAGCTCAAGATAATTGAAATGGAGATTGATAACAGAAATTGGTATTTCTAGACCACCTAAACAGAAGACTTGTTTCAAATAAATCATACTGGTAGATGGATTGCTTCTTTGCAATAAAGTGCTTTGGCTTCAGAAGTCCAGCTCATCTTCAAATAAAACATTCAATCAGCATCTAGTGTATCATTTGAAGCAAAGACAGATGTTGGTACAGAATTCAGACATGTCCACGAGAGATCAGGTAGGGGAAGAAGTGACTAGAAGATGGCTTAGCAGTTATACCAGGCTACACAACTGAAATTGCCTGTGAAGGGCAATTTTGATCACAAGACATGTTTCTATTTGCTTTGCTGGGATCACAGTTGTCAATTAGACTGGTTGATTTGTGTAATGCTGTTCTGGTGTGCAGTGAGAGAGGGAAGCAACATACGTTTTTTTATGTGTAGTGAGGAGGTACACAGCGAGGGAATTGCCACAGAGGACTGACTCACAGAAAGACTGTGATTCTTCAAGGGAACCCTGATGGACTAGTGTAGTAGATCTGTAGATCATGTAACTGGATCAGAGTAATGTGACGGAATTTAAATTTAGTCCAACCTTCCTATGTCTTGACAGAGTAATTGACTGACCACTGATGGTGCAGTGAAGCTGTGAAGGAAGGGTTCTCTACTGGTGGTTTAATGTCCTTACGAGTCAAGGCTCTTGTTAATCTAAAATACAGCTGAGTCCAAACCATGCACAAGAAGGTAATCTCCAGTGTGATCGTGATGATTATGCTGGTTGTAAGGACTGATTTGTTCTCTGACTTTTTAACCTGTGGGAGCACAAGAGCTGAAGGACTGATTTAGCTGGTTAAGCACTGAGAACAATAGTCCAGGTGTGATGGACTTGCTCCTCTCTAGAGATTGGCAGTGATTGGACTGAAGGATGGCATGAGGAACCACTGAGGGTAGACAGACAGACAATCGCTGAAGTATGAAGACCTGTGGACATGAAAGGGGACTTTTATGTACAGAGAGGTAAGAACTACTTAGCTGTAAAGACACTTGCTTTTTATAACTGATGGAGGGAATTTAAAAGTTACCTAAATCTACATATATTAATACAATATAGAACTAAACTAAAGAGATGTCACACTTAAGAAACTAGTTACCAAACTATTCTGGCTTATTGAATAATCGCGGAGTCACTGTATCATTATGTACTTGGCAGTGTTGGTCAGATGGGCCCAGGCTGACTAGATGGTCCACTGGAGAAAGGAACTGAGCTCCTGTGCCTGGGTGTATCACTCACTGGGGTGGGTATATGCAGTTTGACTGCAGGAAGAGTTGTGCACTGCTAGCCACAAAAGCTACAATAAATATGCGTCTGTCTAAGCTTCAACAGCATCTTCTTTAATGCTACCATCAATCAAAAGCATTTTCCTGGATAAACCCTTTGGAACCTTTCACAAGTAGATAACAAACAATTACCTCTCTCATTTAAAATCTAGCAAGCAAAACTGATATGATTTAATTGTGTTTTGAAAAATCATTGTAGGTGCTTTGGGCTTTGAACATTATTTTACTGTTAGTTTACTAAGATAATCACTTCTGAAACGTTAGGAAAAAAGGCAGAGACAAAGTTCTTTGCCCTGAAGGAGATTGCCACCTCGTGAAGAGATAGACAATACGGTACAGCCGTGAATAACAAACAGCTTTACAAGGCAGCCTTATATCTGTACGGTTATAAAAAACAAACAGCTTCTTCTCAATAAATTAATTCTGTGGATTATTGACTTTGTGTTGCCTTTGAGAGGCTTTATATTAGACATTTATTTTTCAACCAAGCACTATATTAAAGAATAATAGCGATAGGTTTTATTGGTTTGGTTAAGACTGTGGCGTGAACATCCTTAGAAATGTAAAAAGGCTGGTATGTCTTGAAGTGCTTTTCATTCCATTAAACATTACAGGACCAGATTTTCAACAAGAGCCAGCTGAGGTTTTTGAAATTTTTTTTTAATTAAGTGATATATTTTTGTCATTAAGACCAGTTTTCTGTTGAGATGCCTGAGAGGTGTAGATATGTGTCAAATGCACCTAGATACTTAGGTACAATAATTGCTCCCAGTTATTTATGTAGAATTTGATGCTTAGCTAGTTTTGACAGCCCTGCTGAATGCCTACCAGTGTTTTTAGGCACTTCAATGTCTTCAAAAACCTGACTCACTCTTAGGATGTGAGGCGTCTTATTAACTTCAGCCAGACAATTCATTCATACTTCTGGGCACAAACTTAAGTACTTAGCTGGAAAGGGTATGTATGTTTTTCATTTCAGTTTTGTCATCATTCTCATTAAATATTTGTCTCAGTCCTGTGGGTCAACTGGTAACATCTTTACATTTTACTCTTGGCAGAATAACATCTAGCTTTGACTATTAGCAAATTGAATTATGCAGTATCTAAATAAGGAACTAATCGGTTTGAAAGGTGTTGAACCTTCCTTAGCTACATTACTTTTATATGCAAGTGATGTGACTACAAGGCTCCTATTAGCAACAGAGTTAGCTCTTTTTATAGTAGCATAAATGAGAGAAAATCTGGATAACCTGGCTCGGTACAAGCTTGCAAGGTATTCCTGCTTCAGAAGTGGAGCGCACTACCTAGCAGAATTAGAAGAGCTAAAGGTGTAAGAATGATTCCTAAATCAATGCAAAGTACTTGAAGAGGCACTGAAAGCGATCAAACAAAAAGGCCACCTAAATGTGAGAATTTTCCAAATGCACTTCGCTTATTTAGCTAATTTAAAATACACTGAACTGAGACGAATTCTCTAAATATTTAATCAGAGGAAAGCTACAGGCTCTTTAGGCATTTCTGTGCCACTGTCTAATGACTGAAAAACCTACTTATTAGGAATTAGGAAATCTGAATCCTTGTTATTAATTAGATTAATTCATAAAACATAATTTCTGCAACAGATGGCTTGCTTTTCCTTATCTGAATCTAAGATGTGGGAAGTGATGAAGCCCTGAATACAAAATGTTAATAGTTACCAGATAACTGCGTCCTAGACCTCTGAAGTACTGATCTTTTATGCTCCCTATATTTAGAGAGCTTCATCTAAAATTTTCCAAAGCAGGTTCAAATTCTATAAACACCACATAGAGGGACATATTTAAGATAGTAATTGATGCTTTACAGTGTAACCAAAACTGTTCCTTTTAGTCTAATTGCAATTGTATTATGATAATTTGTTTGTAGAATTTTTTTCCTTTACAGAAGATTTTTTTTTTTTTTAAATTGAAAATTAAAGAAAAACATTACTAACTGTCATCACTGCTGATATTTCTTTCATTGTTGTGCTTGGCTCAACTGTTCACTCTCTTTGTAGACAAAATGCCTTTTGAGTAAAGTGGGAGTTTTGGCTATGGAGGTATGGCTGGATGTGACCTTATTTATGTTTTTAAGTCTTTCCTTTCAACTGTCTGCCAGTAAATAAAAATTCACTGGGTGAAGGTTTATTTAGACCAGCTTTATTAAGTAAACAAAGTGCAAACCTGAAAAATCTGTTCCTATGAAGTCAATAAGAATCCATCTCCCTAAGTCTTTTTTTACTCCTGGCACCGGTGATTTTTCTTGACTGATTCATTGGAGGGCACTGGTTTAACAAATTTGTCTTGTATAGGTATCTTTCCCATTCTATGTCCTCTCCACTAGTACAAACCAATCTTCCCTTTAAAGGTTATTACCTAGCCAGATCTGTCATAAAGCTATTATCATTAATTTGCACTTTAAGAGTTCCTTTCAGTTTTAAAAACTATGAGATACATTCCTGATTTATGGATTGTAATGTGACAGCCATTATATGCGAAGAAGTTTGTTTATACTTACCACAGATGCCTTTGAAAAAGAGGGATATTTCAATCTTATGCCCACTCCAGCTGCTTTACATAACTATATTCAATATCAGAGAAAAACTGTAATCTATATCAGAGAAATACTGGCAATCTGTATTTTCCACTGTCCTCTAGAATTTCTAATAGAATTTTATCCTTGTTCTGGAATATTCAGAAATCACATACATAAATACAGAAAACTTGTAATACTCTATTAAATTCCATAGGTTTTAGGAGTAATTCCCATAAAAACCCACTTTTAATCCTTATATGTAGTTTTCCTGCAGGTGATAATTAAAAAATAGTCCTCAGATTACTGTGAACCTCATTAAATATATTTCAAAATCATGTTTTTCAGGAAAACATTAAGAAAAGCAAAATATTTTCATTGTTTTTAGAAAAAATAGTAACACTATTAAGTAAGGTATGAAGAGTAGAGCGTACCTACCTAAACTAAACAGCACCAGGAATTTGAGACATACAAATTCTCGTAGATCAAACTGCAGGGAACGAAGCTTTGCTACTAGTTCTTGTGCATGGCTCATAAGATTGTTGAGGGTAGCTCCAGCTTGGGATGCTATTACGGAATAATCCACCTGTAAAAGAGAATTGTATTTCTGTCTGGTTGTCATGCCCGCAGAACCACTTTAGGACGTTTCAAGCAATCACATACAACTGGGATACTCCTGGATAAAAGAATCACTCTCAATTTAATGATGTTATCAAGTCAAGATGATTCTATATAAAAACCTATTTTAGGACAATGGTATATATTGAAAATATTATTAAACTATATATCTTAATGGTATGTCACATCAGTGTGAATGCTGGTTTGTCTGTATTAGCTTTTTTTAGAAGCTTTATCTGTGACAACTGCTTATGACACTGGTAGCTGTTATAACACTGTTAGCTCCCCATATCTGTTTGTTTTATTCATTTGGTGTCTCTTCTCATTGTAATTGTATGATCCTGCAAAGAAAGGCTGATGAAGTGAGCTTTGCACCTATGCTGGGTGTATTAGTCCAGAGGGACATAACGGTATTCATGGGAAATGATCCAGTGTCCGTAACTTTGCCAGAAACATCTATTCAAGCCCAGAAATGTCGGTGTATTCCCACAGGAAACAGAGGTATTGTGTGGGTGGTTTCTGTTCTCCTTAGCTACACAAAATCCTGGTATTTGTGGAGTTGGTTCCAACGGACTTGTTCTGGCGAGTCCTCCCCTGCTAGCGAAGGAGGAGCAGGCAGGTGCGTGACACAGGCCAGCTGCACTTGCATTGTCCCGAGCAGCAACCGCAGGGCACGAAATTACTTTCTCTATGGCATAGAAAAAAGCAGGACTGCTCTAGGGGTCTGCTGGCCTTCTTGTGATGCCCATTTGTTCTCGGGGGAGGCTGACCTGTCTATGAGCTTTCCTAAGTAACACTTGTATATAGAGATCCAACTGAAAGCTGGAATTAATACACCATATTAAAAAAGGTAATGTTCACAAGCAAAGTATACTCAAAGCCTGTCATAGCTGACACACCCCTGGGCGATCCTTGAATCTCGGGCAACCTCCCCACTGCTTGCACTATGAAATTTTTCTGGCTAATGCCAGTCCCATTAAGGGGACGTTTCCATGCGTTCTGAAGGAAACATGGAATTTCCTTGTTCCTTCAAGGACCAGGAAGGAACCTGGTACCAGCCAGGTTCCAGGTAGCAGCCTCTGCCACTCTGAAGATGTGCACACTTTGTCACGGGACGGTGACCAGTGGAGAAGTGCTCGGGTACCGCAGCCTACGAGAACGCCGTCATGCGAAAGTGAAGCGCGGGGGCTGGGGCTGGGGTGCGCTGGCGCTGAGACAGGGCTGGTGGCTGTGAGACCGGGCAGCTCCAGTGCAGCAACAGCAGCGTGGAGCAGGGTGTAGCGGGTGTATCGGAACCGGGGTGATCTGAGCAACTGCTTCAGCTGAAATGCCTTCAGCTCAGCCCTGTTTTCATCAGTGCGTGTTACATATCCCCTACAAGTGCCACTGTCCCATGAGAATGGCCAGGTGTGTTGCTTGCTTCTGGGTTGATCTTCTCCTGCCCAGCTGGCTGAGATCTAAACGGGTTATTGATGCATTTTAAAAAATTCTTTTCTTGCCTGGCTGCTCTAATATAAAAACACCTTTCTCTTTTAGGAGCCTCCATAACAACAGGGAAATTACTAACCATACTTCATGTAAGCACATGTAAGTGAAGTCTCACTCTAAACTAAGACTAAGCACAATGGTAAGTGCACACTTTGGGTTAATGATGTGTTTAAAGGTATCAGTGCTCTAATCCCATCTTTAAGGCTTCCCACAATGAAGTGGTTAATAAAGAATGGCCAGGTATCATCAGAGGAAACAGACCAATACTGCAAAATTTTGTTTTTCCAGGCACTGATCCCTTATAATCTGTTTTTTTAATGGCTGATAAGGAACATGTATTTTGAAATATGGTTTTTTGATTTTAAAACTATTTAATTGATTTTGCTCAAGTATAAACAGCAGTAAAGCAAGAAAAAAACTGAAAGACTTTAAACCTGACAAAATTTCAACCAGTAAAGATAGACAGATGATTGAAAGGAACTAAAAATGACTTCTCCTAGTGATGACCTTAATATAATCAATAGGTTACTGACTTTTAATTAGACATTTTTTTATATGTACTCTTAGTGCTCCCAAGACATTTCTTGAAAGCAACTGTACAAGAAAAATGAAGTTACACTTTTTGTGTGGATGTTAAGAATAACACTGCTCCAATTCTGTAAGGCATTTAAAGTTGTGCTTATGTTTCAATTAAGTCAATGGATTATGCTTGAGTATCCTGTGAGGTAGGTTTTATTGCTCTCTTTTACACCTGGGAAAACTGAAGTAGTGACATTAAATCGCTTACTCAGGGCCAAAAAAATCTGTGACAAAACTAGGATTTATTCTTTGGAAATCCCAGCCAAACCATTTTTCATGAACTAGTTTCTAGTTCATCTGTTATTTCTCTTTCTCTCTATATATGTACATATATACATATTTCTTTATATATAAGATATATACTTAT